GCACGGGGTGCGTCAGCCCGCTTCTCTCCAGCTCTACACTTGTGCCGCTCTGGCCTGAGAACGAAGGAGTTGTTTAAAGTATGAATTCCTGCCCTCTAAGGCTCTAAGCCTTGGAGCCATGGCGTACAAGTTCGCCAAGGATGAGGTGCCCTTGCATTGGTGCGCGGCTGTTTCTTACACGATTGGTCCATTTTAGAAGAGGCCACAGGGGCACGGAGGAGATCGAAGTCTCCTGTAGGCAGCTGAACTGGACTTTCTCGGGGAGTCCCTGGCTGTGTCTCACTGCAGTCTTGCTATTTCTGGACCTTTTCCTTTGGCTGGAAAAGGTTGCTCATCTCAGAACTGCAGCATCTAATTGTGCCCTCATTCTCCAGAGGAGACAGACCACACCGGAAACACTCCTGGCTCTTGGTAGACACCAAAACTGGCCGTTCCATCCCACGCTTCTTGCCCTTTGCTTACCTATTATAAAACTCTGTTTCCCAAGCTCCTTTGCAGTTAAGGGAGGCCATGTACACAGTCTGGCATAAGAGAAGTACCTGTGGGTCTGTTGGGGTGTCTGCTCTCTCCTCAGCCTTCCCATACTTGGAGCAAGGGGCCAGGGGGTGACACACAGACATAGGACAGAAGGACTGACTGAAGAGCCCACTCCTTGTGGCATGACTGCGCAACACTGTCATCTCCATCTCAGTACTTCCTGCCACTTGAGGAAGACCCCCATCCCCTCTTTTGATGAAATCTCCTATGTGTGGTGCTTTTTCTGTCATATGCAACTAAACGTAATCCTGACACAGGAAGCTAGCACATGCCTGCCATCGTTCTCTCTACAGTTCTCTTAAGATATCCGCAATCTAGGACCATGGTGACAGATTTGAATTCATTGTATAATTATTAATTATAATCATGACACCAGTACTGGTCATTTCCCAAATGCCTCCTGGAGGCTATGGATTAGGCTAAGTGATCCTGGGCCCCTCACAATGGTTATTATTGCCTTTATTGTCCAATGAGGAAACTAGGCTCAGAGACATCATATGAGTTACTCAGAGTCACCAGAGTCACACAGTTAGACCTGGAAGCTGGGCTATGAACTGAGGTGCATCATGGTTTCTCTGTCACAGGTGACTGAACCCCCATGACCCCAGGATCTGATGTCTGATTATCTGTAGATTACTTGGAGGGTAGAAGCAGGGTGGGGAAGACTCTGGTAGAAGGACCACTGGGCCATCCTGTGCTAATCTGGGGGTGAGGTCTGTGTGACAGGGGACCCTGCAGTGGAAACTCCCTGGATGAACAGGGAACTCTCCACACACCAACTGTCTGCCTGCCTATCTTTTGGGCCTGTCCTTGGCAGGATTTGGGTGTTTAAAGACTCAGGGCTGGAGTCCAGGAGAGGCTGGAAGGATGCAGCAGGTATTAACCCTGTAAACTGAAGTCAAACATCGCCTCCAGGCTCAGCCCCACCGCCTGTAACGCGCAGCTCTGGGGGTGAGCTCGCTTTCCTGTTTATAGAAACAGGAAGAAGAAAAGCCCCTCACGGGGCTGTTGTGAGCGCCAAGCCCTCAGCATCCTGCCTGGCTTACAAAGTGCTCCGGAAGGGGCTGCCACTCCTTCTCTCCCTCCTCACCTCATGCAAGATCTAGAGGAATCGGTCCTTGGGCCTCTGCTTCTCCTTCTGCATCATCTCCTTCCTCTCAGGGCTGTTGTAAAGGCTTAAGCAGGAAAGACAAACAAGTGGATTTTGTGGCTTTCGGGCCTTGGCTGCTCAGGTGGACTGGGTTGTGTAACGTAACTAGAGGCCCCATCCAGTCACCCACTGCCCTAAAGGGGTTCTGCTTCCTCTTAGTGCAATTTTGAGCAAACCAGTATAGTCCTGGGCCTCAACTTTCTTTCTCTGTAAATGGAGACGACAATATTGGCTTCACAGGGCTACTGGGATATTTTATCTTATAGATTATATAGTACTTAATGGGAACCTGGCACTGAGCAGGTACGGGGGCGGGGGAGGGGGGACTTTCCATGGAGCCGACCCTGCTCAGGTAGGGAAGGGAAAGAAGGGACAGTGGAGAAACAATGCTGAGCTCCTGGAGAAGGCTGGATGCCCACATGGACTGGCTCTCGCTGTCCTCAGAGTAGCTGTTGCAGAAATGGAATTAGTAAACCCATTTTTTTTTCAGACAGGGAAACTGAGGCCCACAAAAGGCAGTTGAAGGCTTCAGGTGGTGAGAGTGAAGACCAGGGTTTGGGACCGAGGTTTGATGAGATCTGAGGCTGACTGCAGAACTTTCTGTTCTGTGAACCTGCCTTCGAGCTGGGGCTGGGCTCATGAATGATTCAGGTGAGAGTCAACTTGGGATTTCCAAATGCTGGGTGGAGCCCAGTTGGGTGAGACCTTCCCAGTAACACTCAGATGTGGGTCCTAGGTATGCAGGGGTGTGTGTGGCTGGTATGGGGGCAGGGGATGGGGCCCTCAGAGAGACAAAACCTTGTCACTGGGTAGGGAAGCTGTTCTTACTTCTTGGCTTGAAAGAGCTCAGGCTCTGTGGTGGCGCTGAACCTATGGGACTGTCAGGAGTGTTGACCAGTGGGGTCAATGGGAAACTGAGGCAGGCAATGACCCTTTTGGGGGTTGCCCCAGCAGATAGATGGGCAGGCACCTTGATGAACATGGCTGTGGTCCCCTCAGGCACATAATTTTTTTCTATATAATTATTATTTAAATTTTTTATTTTAGCTTATTTTATGTTATATAAGTGTTTTCTTACACACACATGCACACACACACACACACACACACACACACACACACACACACAGGACAGAAGAGGATGTCAGCTCCCCTGGGACTGGAGTTATGGATGGTAAGCTACCATGTAGGTGCTGGGAAAAGAACCCAGGTCTTCTGCAAGAGCAACAAGTGCTCTTAACTGCCCAGCCGTCTCTGCAGCTCCTGTTCTGGATTAGTCACACCAGTGCTCATTCCTTTCCGAATCCAAGCACCCACCTCTTGTGCCGTTTTTCTGTCAGTCAGACCCTGTGCTTGGGTCTAGGGAGGCCAGGGTGACCAAGACAGTGATAGATCAAGGAGGAGAGAGGGACAGCTTCAGTCTAGAATCACCACGAGCAGAGAAGAGCTTCCTGCAGGAGAGAATGAAAAGCTTGTCACATGACCTGGAGCAGAGGAGATCAGCCACCCTCCACACAGTCCACATTCAGGACATTGGCTTTGGAGCAGAGGGCCAGGTGGCCCTGTGTTTTGACCCTTCTAGCAGAACAAGGATGAGGGCTGGTCTGGATGTCCCCCAGCCTGGGTGTTCATCTGCATGCTCCTTTGAAGTGGACCAAATCCAAATTACTTGTCCCAGCTGACTGCCTGTCCCAGAGTGCCTGTCTCCCGGGCAGAATCTAAATGGCTGCCACACCTCTCTACCCACACGCTGGTGTCACTTCAGCCACCGTCTCCCTTGTCCGGATCCCCTTGGTTAGGCTTGGTCCTTGGAGGCCTGAATTGGGGCCCCAGCTGCTCTCTTGGCCTCTGGCTTCCCCATGCATCCACCCTTCATCAATTCCATACTGCCATTGCATCTCTCCTTCACTGCATCCACCTTGGAATTGCATGATTGGTTGTGGAGCATTGGTTACAGCAAGGACTCATTTGCTCCCCACTGGTGGTATCTGTCTTCACCAACCCCCTCATCTGATTATCCTGGTGTTCAGATGGGAAACAGGCCCCAGAGACTCGTCTGTGGTCAGAGCAAAGGAGGGAGACTTTAACTTAATTTCTTGATTCCCAAGCTAAGTCTCCTCCTTCGAGGCCAAGGCTGAGCTAGTGTTTGTTGTTTTCACTACAGGAGACGAGGTTTAGGAGCGAGCTACAGGTGTGGTTACTGCCCGGGTCCAGGCCCCAGGTGAGGGCAGGTCTGGAACTAGAGGAGGAGGCTCATGCCAGCTCTTCTTCCAGAACTTGATCATCAGAAGGTCCCCTTTCCTCTGGGCGCCGGAACCTCAACTTCCCTCCCAGACCTCACTGTTGCTGCTGACAATCACTTGACTCACGGCTCCTTGCTCGACTGGGTGGTTTGCCTCTGGGATGCAGGGAAGGCTGAAGCCCGTCTCAGTGTCCTGGGGCTCCAGTCCCTCCCCTGGTCTGCCCTGGCTTGCTCTGCCTCCCTGGAGCGGCTGGCTTTTGTCCCAGTAGAGCATGGGAACAGCTCTGGCTTGGAAGCAGGTCTCACCTCTCCCACCGGGCAGGGTTCTTTTCCTGTACCTGGAGACGTCTGACAGCCAGCACAAGGACGGATGGGTCCTTCCACCATTGGGTGTGGGCAGAGGGTAGTTAGGTGTGCTGGGAAAACCGAGGGAGAGTGCGCCATTCTCCCCTTCTTCTAGACTCAGTTTCCCCAGTCATCAAAAAGAGTCAAGTGCTGAGATCCTGTAAAGCTGCCTGATGGCCATGCAGCTTGGGGATGGCCCTCGACCAGCCCTGGAATCTGAGTTAGGACAACTCTGAAGGAATGTCTTCTGACCACATCTGCATATGGGATCTATGTATTGCCTAGGGTGGTTTATGTGCCCACTTTATAGATGAGTATACCGAGGACCAGCAAGGATGAGCATGTACCTCATCTAAGGTGGCCCAGCTGGCAGCCTGTGTAATCAGAACCTAAACTAAAGCTCTTCATCTCTGGCAGGCAGAGTCCTCTTGACTCCGTGAAGGACCCCTGTGTGCAGGCAAGGCTGGGGTGCTGGGCTTCTCAGCCCCTTTCTCATCATCTGCAAGCAGGTCCAAACTGACTTCTTCCAGCATTTGTTTTGTGTCTGAGCCCTGTCCTCTGTCATGTCTATCCTCAGCCAGCCTCAGTTTCCTATAGATCAATAGATGCATTTCTAACACTTTAAGAAGGTTGTGCACCTAAAGCATCTGGAGTGACAGTCTTAATGCAGTAGTTAATAAAAGGCCTTGGCCAAGGCCTGAGTAGAGGAAGTCAGCGGGCGTTCTCGAGGTGACAGCTTGAGGGAGGAGTAGGGGTGGAGCCGTAGGATGGGTGGGAGGTGACCCGCCAGTGCTGGGGCAGTGCTGGAGTTGCACCGGAGGACCCAGCAGTTGGCTTTCACATCCATCAACTTCCAGAGCCATGAGCCGTGAGTCCGACCCCAGTGCCCCCACGCACCGCACCGGAGAATTCGGTGGCCTGCAGGCGGAGCCTTGAACGCCAGGCTCAACTTCTCTCTCCTCTTCAGGAAGGAGTCTCTCGCTCCAGTTCCCGCTGCTGCTGCTCCTGCTGCTGCCGCCACCCCCTGTCCTGCTCGCAGACCCTGGGGTGCCCTCACCGGGTAGGAACCCCCCTTCCTCCCCCCCCCCC